TTTTTTTTTTTTCTTTTTTTTTTTTTTTCTTTTTTTTTTTTAGATTTCTCAAAGGATTTGGATGCTCTATTGTGACCAGACTATGATCTGGCTTCACTTCCCACAAATCAGTATCAAATGCGGAGAAGCAACCTGCTACACAGGCATTTTGCAGACTAAAATAGTGCAGAGCCTAATCAGGAATCTCGCGGCAGGAAACAGGCCTTCCTACAACAGGAAGCGTAGGAAAGACTACTGGAGACAGCCGTCCAAAAGCAGCCGCTTTGCCAAAAAAGACAAAATGGCTGTATACTGGCAACTCCTGCAGCAGGAAACCGCTGAATTAAGCACTCAATCTACAGAGCAATTTCGTATGTCATCTGCTTCCTGGCCACAGATATTTGGAATCACTTTTACATTGCGTTTCAGCTCTATCTCATAATCAGGTTGAGGACAGTGTCCTCTCCAGTAAGCAAAGAGGCCAAGGTCAGAGGCTTCTCTGAATCCTACCCAGAATAAATATTTTTAACCCCTTTCCTTTCTCCATTTTCATCGTTTTATCATTTCTAATTTAGGGGCCTGACATTCCTGTTTCTACTCTGATTTGGGGCCAGGGCAGACTGAGTCACTGATACAATGCCTGCCAAAGTTAACTGTAGCCTCCACGGGACTGTACAACAGAGTCTGGTAGAAGATAAATACCACATGCCCCAGTGAAACAGGGAAAAGGAGGCCAATGGATTCTCTCTGAGATTTGTCTGATGGAGGGTCAGGAAACTCTTCAGGAAGTTTCTCCTAAACATGTATAACAAGAAGGGAGAGGGACAGGGAGAGAGAGGTGGGGAGGGTTAGGGAGAGGGACAGGGAGGGAGGGAAAGAAAGAAAAGAGAAAAAGAGGGAAAGGAAGGAGGGAAGGAAGGAAAAGGAAGGAAGGAAAAGGAAGGAAGGAAAAGGAAGGAAGGAAAAGGAAGGAACAAGAGGGAAAGGAAGGAAAGGAAGGAAGGAAAGAAGGAAGAAAAGAAGGTAGGAAGGAAAAGGAAGGAAGAAAAAGGAAGGAAGGAAAAAGAAGGAAGGAAAAGGAAGGAAGGAAGTTTTTTCCATTGGGTTCATGTATTGATGTGGGCTGTTGGCAAATTGAGTTAATTTTTCAATATTTACCCCATTGTGACTGCTTGTTCATCCCACCGCAGACAGGAATTATTGTTTCTGTTCCTTCATTGGTTCCTTAAGCTTTACTGAAGACAGAATCATAGAAACACAGAATGGCTGATGTTGGAAGGGACCTCTGAACAACACATGGTCCAACCTCCCAACTCAAGCAGGGTCATCTACAGCCACAACATATGGTCAAAGCTCCCAACTCAAGCAGGGTCATCTACAGCCAGCTGCACCATGTCCAGACAGCTTTTGAATGTCTTCAAGGATGAAGACTCCATAACCTATCTGGACAATGTGTCCCAGAAGCTGTAAAGTGCCACCCACTAGAGACTTCAAGAGACCTTTCATATTTGGTGAGTCAGGAAACATGAAATCCATCTCAAACTGAGAGTAACAACAACAATAATCACCTCAATTCAACTTCAAGTTTTGATCAAAACCAGACAATTTCTTATTTTATCCTATAGTTTCAGTATCCAGAGCAGGATTTTATGACAAAAGAGACTGCTTAGCAACATTATATTTGGAGCAAGCAACGGAAAATAGGTTTCTGAAGAGAGCTTGCTCTTACAAAATGAGATGTGAAGTTTATAAGATGCATGAGCCAATTTGATCATGAACACTTCATGCTTTGATAGAAAGAAAGGGCAAGCAAATTTTGAGCTACGGCTTTGTTAACAAGGAGAACAAGTTTGCACCAAAACTTCAGAGAACAGTCTGTCAGTCCCAAAATTACAAAGAAAATGAGATGTGAAGTTTATAAGATGCGTGAGCCAATTTGATCATGAACACTTCGTGCTTTGATAGAAAGAAATGGCAAGAAAATTTGAGCTACGGCTTTGTTAACAGGAGAACAAGTTTGCACCAAAACTTCGGAGAACAGTCTGTCAGTCCCAAAATTACAAATTTGCTTCCATTTATTGTTTTCATGTCACATTCTTTTGTTTATTACTTGTCAGGTTTTTAAATGTTTCCTGTGACAGAGAAACACCCTCCTACAGCTATGAACATTAAACACCTGCCCTAGTGTCAGCGTCAGACTGAGGACCTGTACTTAAGCTAATGCTTTTGCAGCTGAGAGTTTTTTGACAATTACATATCACTTGGCAATTCTGCAGAAAGAGCTGACGTAAGACAGGACTTGATGAATGTCCGTGTGTGCAGGTTGCTGCTCTATCTTAGCACATACAGTTGGGGCTCTGCTAGGTGAAAAAATGAAAGCTGAGGGATTTTAGGACAGAGTAAACACTTCTGAAGTCCTGGCCTTGCATTAGAATACAATTTATTCAGTTGTTGTAGTTTACATTGTTTCTTTTCTCTCATATTCATCTACCTTTGCCTCAGAAATAGCTGTAGGAGGATGCGTGGTTCAGCAAGACACAGAATACAATTTATTCAGTCGTTGCAGTTTAAATTGTTTTTTTTCTCTCATATTCATCTACCTTTGCCTCAGAAATAGCTGTAGGAGGATGCGTGGTTCAGCAAGACACTTTTCCTAAGCTCTCTGTGAAGGGATGACATATGTGACTTTTCTTTCACCATGCACTGGATCTACAAAAGGACCTGTCTGTTGTCTTATCTCCTCAAGATCCTGTCCCCTGGGCTTGGAGACATCTGAAGTCCTCAGTGCTTCTTCCAGCTGCTTCCTACATCTCTCGTAGTTAAATTCTCCAGATAGATAAAAATCAAAGCAAGCCCAAGACTGCCTGTGTCTAAACAACCCTTTAGCTCCCTGAATAGTAGTAACAGGGCAGATAGAAAACACCTACCTGTTGGGTAAGTGACCCCCTAAGGACCTTCCCCTTGCCAGTAGCTGAGGTCCCTGATCCAGCTGAGCAGCCCTTACTTAGACTTAGGATCTTTTCTCAGCCTGAAAAATACCTAAGATTGCATGTTCTCAGTGAACACTTGAGACAGCCATAAAAGGGCAGCTCTTCCTGAAGTAACTCCACTTTGCATAGACCTATTAAATATTTATTGGATGAGAAACAGAGAGAATGAACCTACAGCCCAGGAGCTGGGGCAGTCTCTAACAGTAGGAGTTAGGTAAAACGAGGGCACCAGAAAACATTCAGCATTTTAAATCCAGTCAGAGTAGGAGACTCCTCCATGGCCCAGAATAAACTGTGCTTTCCTTTTCCTGGACAAGGAGCCTTGGTTGGCTCCACATGGGGCATTTCACCTCGCTGTGAGCTCTTGCTGACGTCGTCTTGCACACCTTATCCCACTGAGTGTAAAAACAGATGGTGCTGTGAGTAGAAGAAGAGGGAAAGGCTTCAAGCTGCAATGCTGTGAGCTCTTGATGACCACGTCCTCTTGCACATCTTATCCCACTGAGTGTAAAAACAGACGGTGCTGTGAGTAGAACAAGAGGGAAGGGGTTCAAGCTGCAACAGGGTAGCTTTAGACTGGGCACTAGGAAACAATTCTTGACAGAAAGAGTGGTCAGAGACTGGAATAGGCTGCCCAGGGAGGTGGTTGAGTCACTGTCCCTGAATGTGTTTAAGAGTTGTTCAGATGCGGTGTTGGGGGATATGGTGTAGGGGAGAACTTTGTAGAGTAGGGTTGACGGTTGGACTTGATGATCCCAAGGGGTCTTTTCCAACCGGAATGATGCTGATTCTATGAATACCGCAAAAGCTCACCTATTTCCCACAAGACACCCTGTTGATATAGCTCCGGCAGTACCGCAAAATCTCACCTATTTTCCACAAGACACCCTGTTGATATAGCTCCGGCTTTGGCCTCTCTTGACATGGAGGGGGATTTCCAATAGAGAAAAGAAATCACAGAATCACAGAATCACAAAATCTTCAAGGTTGGAAGGGACCTTAAAGATCATCTTGTCCAACCATCAACCTAACTTTGACAAAAATAGACACCCACACAACAAACAAAAAGCAACACCATCATTAACCATCTCTCCCACTGCTACATCAACCTGTCTTTTGAACACTTCCAGGGATGGTGCCTCAACCACCTCCCTGGGCAGCCCATTCCAATGGCTGATAACCCTTTCAGTGAAAAATTTTTTCCTAATATCCAGCCTGAAACTACCCTGGCGTAACTTGAGGCCATAATGACGGGAAATAGAAGAAACTGAAAGGAAAAGACAAAAGAAAGAATGATGGGAAACGGAAGAAACTGAAAGGAAAAGACAAAAGAAAGAGAAAAGGAAGCTTGGACTGAGAAGAGGATATGGAAGAGTTTCGGAAGAGGGAAATGTGGACAAGGTGTGTAAAGCCTGATATTATACTGCATCGCTCTAGCTCTGCCAAGACACAGGTAGGAGACAATGGGATATAAAAATATAGCAAGTATTCCTGAAAGAACTGATCTCTCTCTGGCGCCAGGCACGTCTCTAATTCTTTGCCAGCGATAATGGGTGTGTAGAGCTTGCAGGGCATGCAGAACACGAATGCCCAAGGTCCTACTCCATTCAAATCATTATCAGATCCTTTTCTGGCCTTTTCCTTCCTGGTAGACACAGAATTATACCAAAATCCCAGTATCTAATGTCCCTGAACCACAACAAAGTTTAGATTTGATGAATGATCAGCCTCTTACTTCAATGCGGCGTGATCGTTGAATTACACACGCGTGGATCGAGCCCGGATGTTGACCCAAATCAGGATTTAGCAAGTCGGAAACACTTGAAATTCAAAAAGAAAGTTCAAAATTACAAAAACAGCTCAAGTCTGTCCGCGTGTTGTGGGACAGATCTCCATTAGCACAATTTCACATGGAAACTAGGTGGGTGGGTAAAACGATTGAGTTCAAATGCAAGGGTGGATGACAAGAGGTGAATAGGGAGCTGAGGGTGGAATGTTACCAGCACCACCCTTGATTTCCTTTTAACCTACTGTAGCCAGGCGCGTATCCACCGAGCAGAGTAGCACGTAACAACTGACTCCTCCATCTGAGAAAAAACAGAAGAGAAAAATCTCAATAAGTTTTCAGAGCATTTTCTCGATGTTTTCTCTTCGCTCATATTTTTAACTTTCTAAGACAGCTTAAGGCAATGAATGCAAATGCAACGACCAATAGGGAATTAACAAAAGTGCTAAGTATGCTACAAATGCCACAGTTTACATCCGCATTGCAAAGGTATTGTTCCTTTTTAATACCAGAGCAACAGAAATTATTTTAACATCAGTGGTCAGTCTAGCCCTCCAAACACGGCCTGGTCCAAACAGGTAACTTAGAAATGTAGCAGAGCTATTCAGAGATGCTCAGCACTGAAGATGAGCTCTGAAGATGAGGTCTTCAGAACAGAACGTGGTCAATACTGAGCTGGGGCAAGAAGTCTCAAAAGTCACAAGCAAGGACTTGGTGCACCACCCGGAAAAGTTCCAGCACTTCATAGCAGGGGAATACCTGCCAAGTGGTGTCTTTGACAAACTTCCCCCTGGGTCACTTGTCGCACGTTAGTCATGATCCAGCCCAAGTGTCTCTAACCTATCACTAACATACTGGGTGAAATGCAGAAAGCACAGGAGGGATGTTAGAGTCGGAAATTGCAGCTGAAAGTCTCTCACGTCATGTAAACACTTCTGCAAGTGGTCTTCCACTTCCCAGACTGAGCCTCAGTCCTTTGAATGCCGTAAGGAAAATAGCACTTGGGCACAAACACATCTGGGTTCACACAGCAGCGACTGCATTGCAGAACACATAACTCTCAAAGGGTTTTAAGACATGAAATTACACTTTGCTCACCAGAAAAGAGAACAGAAATCTCCCCATTAGAGCAAATCACCAAAGTCAGTTGTCATAAAGAGTTCCAAAGCAAACCAAACCAGAAATGTCAGCACAACTGCAGAGAAAAAAACAAGGCAGATTTTGAGAAAAGAATCCTTTTGACGCTGTCTCCCACAACATCCTTAGAGTAAAGTTGGCAAAGTACAGGCTAGAAAAGTGCAGAGTGAGGTGGACTGAAATGTCAAGGAGGTGATCCCCTCTGCTCAGCACTGGTGAGGCCACACCTGGAGTGCTAGATCCAGTGCTGGGCTTCCCAGTTCAAGAAAGGTATGGACTGGACTTAGTGAAGCAAGTCCAGCACAGGGCCACAAAGGTAGTTAAAGGAATGGAGCACCTTTCCTCTGAGGAAAGGCTGAGAGAGCTGGGACTGTTGAGCCTAGAGAAGAACTGGCTTAAGGGTATCTTATCAGTGTGTAAAAACAGCTGATGGGAGGATGTAAAGAGGATGGAGCCTGGTTCTTTTCAGTGATGCTCAGTGACAGGACAAAAGACAATAGGTATAAACAGAAGAAATTGAAATTCCACCTGAAAATCAGGGCATTGAGTTGGAACTCAATGATCTTTAAGGTCCTTTCCTACTCTAACCATGCTAAGATATTTTGATGTATCTTGTCAGCCCCACTACTTCCTATCCTACTGATATTTTGATGTATCTTGTCAGCCCCACTACCACAGACAGAAATAGAGAAGCTGTGTTCCCTCCCATTAAGATTGCTCCTTGACTGTTTGTTTGATTTTTCCATTTTCCTTCAGAGAAGGAAAAGGCGGCATTTGCCTTTGTCCTGAGGACCAAGCTGTGGGTAGGCCGTGGGGGTCCTGCCTTCTGGTCAGATCCTGTTCCAAAGGGTCTGACAAGGACAGACTGAAACTCTCCCCTCCAGTTAGAAGAAAGACAGTTGCAAAGAAAGCACACTAACAACGTTAATTTTTTTGTGTGTTTAAACAGCTCCTATACAGATTTAACAGCGAAAGCCGAAGTAAGGCTTTCCTAGGCTGATCCTGGGGCCCTGAAAGAAAGATTTCACAGGCTGAGGACATTCATAAGTGGGAGAACCTCACTGCCTCAGAGGCTCTGACATTTCCTCCCTCAACCTTCGTAAAGAATCTCAGCTGTGGAAGCCACGGAGCGCAGAAAGCACAGCATGCCCTGCTGTGAAAGAAATGAGTCTGACAGCCAAGTCGGAAATTACAGAGCCACCCCGAACAGCACCGAAATCGTTGTGCAATATCTATTAGGCCAGGTGACCCGAGGGCATGGAAAGCTCTACCTCTCCTTGACTTTGGGAAACAAAGTCTGACACAGCAGGTTACTGCAACACGGAACAGCTGCTGATTTCATTTCTTCCTTCAACCAGCTATTCACGTCGGCACAAAACACCCGAAAGCACTAAACACAGGTTTATATGTTGTGAGTATAAGCAATAGTACTCGTTAGGTTTTTTTTTTTTTTCAGAAAAGCCAGAAAGGCCATTGTGAAAGCAGTTTGAGTGTTACAAATGAAAATGGAAAATTAAAAACTACAAGCATAGCAACCCATAGTAAGACCGCTAGACAAAATTCCTCAAAGGTCACAGAGCTGTTATCTGGCAAAAAAGTGCCAGCAGGCACCTTATTCCCAGTGACTGTTTGTTTTTTAAACACAATTATTCTTTTAAACCACATAAATAGTTCCACTAAGAAACAAATGACCACATCCACAAAGGCTTTAAATATACGTACCTTGTCAGCATTATAACACCACTTCCAGTTCAGCGGAAAAACTATTTGTAATGAAAATATCGTGACATATTCTTGTTCACAACCTTCTTAACTACAACAACGGATGCAAAAACCCACTGAACCAAATCCAAAAAATGTACTGAGATCTATCTAGTAGTTGCTGGAGGTCAAGGTCCCTATCTATCTATGTGTAAAGGTAGAAAGAAGGTCCCTACCTGCACCTGGGAGTTGCACACAGACTGTTTCTCATCCATGTTTCCTCTGGTAGAATAATGTTGGGGAATGACACTCTCACTTCTGATTAATATGCCCAAACCCTGAAAACATAATCAAAAAGCCCAACAAAATATCGCTTACATTCTCCTTACCCATTGGCTTCCAAAGTATTATTATTAATATGAAAAAACCATAATTTCATACCCAAACACCAAACTGCTGGTGGCTGGGTCTCTTAGGTGACTGCCTGAAAAGTCTGGCAGCCTCCCAACTTTTTTTAGCCCGTTCATTTTTATAAAAGGACATGAGGTCATTATTTGACTTACGCAAAATTTCTCTGTGTTTGAAAAGTCCGGTTAAAGCATAAAAAGTAATATTACGGATGCGAAAAATAAGCATATCACTTAAATAAAAAATAGTAAGTGCATGCAGCCCATTCTCCATGGAGTCTTTATGGCACACCTAAAACCTTTTAAGTCACATAATGCTTTTGTAGCTATTTATAGCCGTGTACGTCCATCATTCGCATCCTATAGTTCGGGGGTTTCTTTTCCAGATATAAACAGAGCTTCCTCCCTGGCTTTGTTTATGTGTCTGCCTGTCAGCGTAGCGCCAGCCGCTGTCTCTCCGCTTTGCTGCCGCTGCTCCCTCATCCTGTTTATAGGTCAGCCACGGCTGCCGATGCCTCCCGGCTGCCGAGCCCGACTTCCCATAGCACTTCAGGATGTTTGAGTCACTTTAACCTGTGCCGCCTGCCTGGAGCCAAGTGTCTACCCTCCGTGCTCCCGCTGTCGGAGGCATTCGCAGAACCACAGACTTAGTCTTCATGGTTGGAAGGGGCCTTTTGAGATCATCGAGTCCAACCATACACACACACACAAAACCCCAACAATCTTTGGCACTAAAGCATGGCCTGAAGTGCCACATCTACACCTTTCTTAAATACCTCCAGGGATGGCGACTCCACCACCTCCTAAGATCTAATCTAAACCTCCCCTGCCCCAACTTCAGACCATTTCCTCCGGTCCCTTCACTTGGGAGAAGTGAATCTACAACCTCTCTACAACCTCTTTTCAGGTACTTGTAGAGGGCAATGAGGTCCCCCCTCAGCCTCCTCTTCTCCAAACTAAACATGCCCAGTTCCCTCAGCCTCTCCTCACAGAATCACAGAATCTTCTAGGTTGGAAGGGACCTTAAAGATCACCTTGTCCAACCGTCAACCTAACTGACAAAAATAGACACCCGTACAACAAACAAAAAACAACACCATCACTAAACCATATCTCCCAGCACTACATCAACCCGTTTTTTGAACATCTCCAGGGATGGTGCCTCAACCACCTCCCCGGGCCGCCCATTCCAATGTCTGATAACCCTTTTGGTGAAAAAATTTTTCCTAATATCCAGCCTGAACCTCTCCTGGCGTAACTTGAGGCCATTTCCTCTCGTCCTGTCGCCTGTGACTTGGGAGAAGAGACCGACCCCCACCTCTTTACAACCTCCTTTCAGGTAGTTGTAGAGAGCAGTAAGGTCTCCTCTCTGACTTGTTCTCTAAACTTCTCACCAGCTTGGTGGCTCTCCTCTGGACACAGCCCAGCACTTCAATGTCCTTCCGGTAGTGAGCGGCCGAAATTTGAACACAGTACTCGAGGTGAGACCTCACCAGTGCCGAGTACAGAGGCACCATCACTGCCCTACTCCTGCTGGCCAAGCTATTCCTGATACAAGCCAGGAAGCCGTTGGCCTTCTTGGCCACCTGACCACACTGCTGGCTCATGTTAAGCCAGCCATCCACCAACATCCCGAGGTCCTTTTCTGCTGAGCAGCTTTCCAGCCACTCTTCCCCAAGCCTGTAGTGTTGTCTGGGGTTCTTGTGACCGAAATTCACCTCCACAGAACCCAGCTTTTGCTTCCTGGGAGGACCAAACCTTTTCAGCTGCCCCTGGAGTGAAAACACAGCTGGGTTTTCCCATTCGTTGTCCCATCCATTGCAAAGAAGGTAAACAGACACACAGCTGAAGAAGGGAAAAAATTCTCCTACCCCTTCAGTCCCCAGCATGAGCAGTTTTGCGGTGGGCAGCATCCTTACCAGCCACTGAACGTGGAGGAAAGACACCTGGCACCTCTTAGTTGGACACAGGGTTTTTAGTTTCCTTATCTAGCAGTGTCCAAGGTCATTAATACAATAATTCTTTAGGCATTTACTTCAGCAGGACGCAGAAAGGAAAACAGATCAGCAGCACCATGTGATGTGAACGCGCACAAGACGCGGCCCGGGAGGAAGAGGGAAATCAGCTGTTGAGCACTGAGCTTGTTGCTGAAGTGGAGCCAGAAAAGCAATGTGTCTAAATCCCCACAGCACGGGGAAAGAATTCTTCCCCTCCAAGCCAGGCAGGTGAAGATGGCTAAATCCAGGACCTCTGGTGCCCATTGAAGCTTTGCACGTTATGAAATCCATAGGAATAGGAGCGCAGCACTTGTACTTTTCCTGTTACAAACACATAATAGCAGAGAATCATTAGTAAACTCAGCATATTTTGGTCAGAGGTTGCTGAAAGACATTAGTGTCTGTCTCCATGGCCCACGACCTCCTCCATATTACTGGATTATAATTCAGGGTCCATCAGCATATGTCCAGCAGGAGTATGTAAATAACTCCTTTAACAACAAGCTCACAAAATCTGTTTTACAACACGCACCAAAAACTGTGTTCACAGTTGTTCCTCTGCTACATTGCTGCATTTTGCTATTTATAAAGGTACCCAAAGAACATACACTGTGTTTAACCTCTTCTTTAGTCTGGCAAACAGTGTGCAACAAATAAAAATAACTGTGAATAAGGCTGACCTGACCTCTGCCAGAAACTACTGCATGGTTTACAACCTCTGCAGAGGTTTCCAAAAACCTAAATTATGCTTACACACCTAGTTTCCACAGGTTTCACATTGCTTGTGAGGTCCTCAACTACTTGTGCCTTTAAAAACTTTCCTTCCTGGTCTTTAGAATAATGTGACACGTGAGAAATATCAACGTCTCGAGCTAAAAGTATTTGCTATGGACAATTGAGCAAAATGAATATATCATCAAAGCACTGTTGGCATGTAGATTGAAGTTAAGCACATGGCACAAATGCACATTCTTAGAAAAAAAAAAGGCTGATCTAATCGTGGTATTTCTTTAGATTCCACTGTAAGCTTTTAAAAACCTTTTAGTGCAATAAAAAGTTGATGATTCTGACATACAGACATACAGGCTTCCTCTGCACTCAACAGCCACTGATCTATGTGACAAGATCATAACTTCACATGACCCAGTGTGACCACGCTTTGCAGACGCCGTTATGAATCTCATGATGTTGTGCTTCTTCTGTGACAACACCAGCTCTTGGAGTCATATGAATGAGCATGAATGTGTTTGGGTTTCTCGCTTGAGAAAGAAGTGTACTTTCATCCCACATTTTGGGAAGATGAAGTTGAATAATCTGAAAACAGTAGAAACTACACAACAAGATCCTAATATTTAAAATCTTTTTTTTCTTTTCTTCCCCCACCTATAAAAATTCACTGTACAAGGAAATTGTCTCACTTCAGTAGCACTGAAGGAGCGAGGTCCACTTTGATTTAGCTCAACATCTTATCAGAAGAGTAGGGCAAGAGCTTCTTTCTGGTGTTTCTCATTGGCATAATTACAACACTGGGTTTCTGTGGCAGACACATTCGTTTTGTTCTCTCATATTGTTCCCCTCCTCATTTAGACAGATCTGTATTCATTTCACAAGCAGCTTCCCTCTGAATCTTTTGTTCAACTGTTAATTATCTTATGTGCCACTTTCCTTTCAAAGGCTCCCAACACATGTAAAAAGATTTGATGGTCTCAAGAGGTGCATATACTCGATATGTTCCAAGATTCTTGTCTATACATTAGATTCTTATTTTCCTAAAAAATAAGGAGAGCAAACCAGAAAAGATCAGTATACACCTGAGCACGCCCCTGTAATTAACAAGCCACTGTTGAGTGATGCCAAAATATTCTAAACTTGCCTAATGTCTCTGATGAAAAAACATAATGACAAGCTATGGAAAGGCAGAATGACATTTAACTCATTTTCCATTGCTTCTCTGCCAGCTCCTGATGGTGTTCACTGATACAGCCTGCTCGTGAGCCGAATTACTCTTCTGTTTATAGCCGTTCTCTGTGCCAAGGCCCGCAGATGTTCAGATTTTTCCCCATGTGGATGGGATACTAGATACGATCTTACCTTCACACCTAGTCTTGAGGGAAACCAGGGGTGAAGCCTACAAAGCAAAACGGCAACCTCCTTTTTGAAGAGCTGGGAACAAGGGGAAGAAATGGGGAGAGAGTCAGACTCAGGCCCAGAGCCCCCACTCAGAAATGGTGACCTGGGAGAATACTGGTTTTTCACTGACCTTTTAGAGCATTTTAGTCCATTTCTGCACACAGAATGACACCTGGCTTTCTCCTGTAGAGACTTTGGAGCAAAAAATGTAGGAAATTAAGTCAAGTACAAAATGTATGGATAGAAGGAGAGGAGAGGAGAGGAGAGGAGAGGAGAATTGAGTTCTTTTCTGCTTCAACAAGAAAGGGATTGGTGTTGTTATTTAGCCCCTAGCTACATCTTCTAGTGGTGCGATCTTGCTGATGGATGTGTTCTGCTTTCTGGAGATATTCAGGGTGTGTCCCAGGAGAGCAGAAAGCAGAGCAGGAGGTGCCTTATCACCTGCTTTTCCAGACCACATAAGTTAAGAGCAAAACAAGATCTGTCACAAGTCAAAACTAGTTCTAATGGACTTTTATTTTCGTACTCTTCTTATGATAAATGTAAGGAAGAGTTACATTTCAGTGTATACATACATATATATGTACATATGCACATACGTGTTGCATTGAATTCTTATTTGCTTATCAAAACAATTTCAGACAACACAAACCAGTGCGAGTAGCTAATTTTGACAGTTCAGATCAATCCCAATTGGCAGGATTTCATACAATACAAAATCTATTCCAAAACTCCTGTACCTATGAGGTCTGCTTAGGAAAAGTGGTATGGCCTTTGAGAAAGACAAATATCAGAGGAATCTGTGGAAGAGATCTGGCATGGATAAGACATCATGGTTTGTGGCTACTCACAGCTTTTTACCATGGTATGTCTCAACGGACTTTTTCTTTCCCCAAATGCAAATAACTTTATTTGTCTTTGCAGAAAGGTATTTACCTTTGCAGAAATACAGATTAATGCGTTTGCTTATTTGTTATCAGCTTTGCTCTGTGTCCTGGGATAGGACTATTTAGTGCTTTATTCAGTCAAACCCACCAGTTTAGCTCCAGGAACAGCTTTTCCCCGATGCAGACGGTGGTGTAAGAGCGCCTTCTACGCTTAGACAAAAGAAACGCAAACTCTCTCAGCAGAAATGGGACATTTACCACCAGCAAAAAATTCTGGGCCCCGTCCTCCCTAAACCTGGTACAAAAGCTTTCCATATTGCCCGCATTTTCAGGGTTTAGCCAAGCAGTCCCTTTATTCCACCTCTAGCTTGTGACACAGGTGTGGTCTGCTTTTGTCAGAATATTATTCTTGCTTGGGAGCAAAATAGACAAGATCTTAGACCAGCTAAAGGTACATTATGAGTGTCACTGGGTGTCATCTGAAATCCCCTCTCTCATTGGCTGCAAAAAAACCCCAATTTTTTCATCTAATCCCTAAAGGATGTTTTCTTCACAATTAATAAAGATTTCACACACACACGAAAGGGCAGGATATAAAAGCCAGAGTAAGGGCAAGTCACAGATTGTGGAACTTAAAGCAGCCCTTTCAAAACACATCTGTCTCAAAGGGGAGGAAAGATGATACTGGCTGAAAAATATAAAATCTAAATGATATAAGGCTTCATGTCATTTTATCCAGTCCAGTTTTCATATACGACACTGGCATTCCTATGGACATTCTCATCTTCTTAGGAGTTAATAAAAGAGGCTTTTTAAAAAAACATACCTCCATGGTAGGCTGCAGGCAATAGATGGTATGTGATCTGTTGTCAACTACAGTGGAACAGGAGGCAGAAAAACTGTTTCTATGCAGTTTTTCTTGGGCAGTTTTTCTTTTTTTTTCCTTACCTTTACTTTGTTCCACATTTATTACCTCTTACACAACAAAGAAGTTATTCACCCAGGGGTGTGCTGGAGACAAATTAGTTCTTCTTTTGAAAGCGTGATGAGAGGTGGTTGTTACGTGAAGTTCATAATACTCAGCATCATACCTCTGTTACTTAATTGATCATCACAAAGAAATCCAGCTTGATTTAATATATAGCATATTCATTATCATACAAACCCGAAACAAAGAAAATAAAAATATTTTTTCCCCTTTTCTGTCACTGACCTGTTGAGTTAATATTTGGGCAAGTAACACTGCCTCTCTCCTCCTCCTCTTCTTCACATTGTCTTGTTGATTGATGCTGAAAGCTCTTTGGAGCCAGATCTGGACTGTGTTCCATGTATGGGTCCCAACCAGGCAAAAGTGTCATAAGCTTCCTGCATCTTTCATTACATTCCTCTGCATCACTGTAAAATATTAATAATTAAATGTGTTTTAATAAGTTTTGATTTGAGAAAAAAAAAGATGGTAACCAGTGATTTAACCAGCAGTTAGTTGACTTAAAATTACTCTCTCAGTTCTCTTACAGGGTTAGTATAGTATACAGCTTGAGGAGTTTTATTATTCTTTTTAGCATTATTATTAGTATTTTATTAGTAGTATATTAGCAGAAATAATTCCAATTTAAAGCTTTTGTGGCAGAGAGGTAGAATTGAGAATCTGCCACATGGTCAAAACAGAAAAAAAACCCAACATAGTGTTTTCTCAACATTTTTTCAGGTGAGCATAAAGATGGATGGTTTTAATAATTGTTTCCATCAGAGAGATCTTGCTATTTAATCTTATGAGATGAGGGAATTACACTACACGCTATGAGCTACAAAGTTTCAATTACCTAATTACACAGCGAGTGTATTCAGAAATGCATAAGTGGATTTTTCAGCTTGCAACGCTATTCAATGAATCTTAGGAAATTATGTAAAAAGAGAGGAGCTCAAGGTTAATATTTCAAATACTAATGAAGTTTTAGATACTGAGGAGCTTTATTTGGGCCCATGAATACTTTTCACTCATCTCAAACACATTAAAAACCTGTCTCATATTAGGAGAAAACAGTCTAGTTTTCACAGCACTCACTTGAAACTTTGGAGATCCATAGTGAATTCATTATTCTGCCAGTGGGTACCATTTTCCCACTTATCAAGTAAATTTATGCAGGGTAAATCAAGAAAGGCTGGAGCTTTTAGAGTGAGAGTTATCTATTCCTAACTATCTAGAGACGTGAGTCTGTTCAGTCCTGCATTATTTGATTCATTTTTGAAGGGTTAGTTCCTTGTTTGTGTGTAATAGGATGCAAACCCACATCTCCTGGCACTGAGAGGAAAACCTTTCAAACTCTCTACAGAAGCTCTGCAACAATGAGGCAAAAAAATTCAGCATTCATTGAAACAGCCAAGGAAGAAGTTGGAGCTGGTATTCTTCCAGACTTACCTGGGACAAAGGAAATCCAGGTTTCAGTACTCTCACCTATGATGGTTTCTTGCATTTTCCACTACAAAGTTATTGGATAAACAAGCAGAAATTGGACCACCCCCTGTTTACGTACCCCCACTCCTTTGAAGTCTCAGCAGTAGAATCATAAGCAATTTTAAAAGTGAAATAGAGGAATTAGCCAATTAAGCATTGCAGCACTGAGAAGACCAGTGCCTGAGTATCTTTACAATCAATGGCCTTCTTTCTCTGGACCATGCCCTTAAACATCCCTAAATGCCTAAAGCTACCAGAAGACATTTTATGCATTTTATAACTTTGGAGATCTTTGGTCCCCAGATCACAGTACACCATCTACACAGTGTTGTAGGTGGCATCTGATAGAAATACTGTAGAATGCTCAGTTGTAAACCATCTCAATCATAAATATGAATTCTGCTTTACTTTTTCAGCTTCAAAAGACCATACAGATGTGTAAAGGTCTTGGGGGGGTGAATCTTTCGCAGCCTCAAACTGAAATTGCTGCAAACATTAAAACTACTGAAGCTCATTAAAATCACAGACTTGGATTCTGCTGGCACAATTATGGAAAAACTGGTTTCAGACCCCACCTAGTCCACAGCAGGTATATGCAGTATAAATTGGCATGGTCACAGTGGTGTTAATAACCAAATTAATGAGATGAAAGCTGTTGGTATGTCTGTTTGAAGTGTTATGGAGACATATATACATACCCTGCATCCCTACCCCACCTAAACTCCTGACTTAGAGATAATTCATGTGCGTGTGAAACACAGGTGGCTTCACTGAGTGGGAAGCCAACTCCTCATCCCTTTTTGTCAGCCCTCAAGAATGGTAAGAAAAGTGAATCGCAGGTCTTGGATGCACAATCCAAGATTGGTGCATCCAATGATGTTATCTGGCAGATTTTCTGCAAAAGCTGCCAAAGGCAATAAAGATAAACTAGGACCTGACATTATTAGTATAGAAAAGCAAATGAAAACAAAGAAAAAGTTCACAGAGAAGCCATAGTTATGCATTGCAATATCATAGCATAATGCCCACCTATGGTATATAGAACCACACCTTAGAAGATATAACAGACACACATCATGAACATTTATTTTACTGTTTTGACATGGATCTTCACAAAGGCCCTTACAAATTCCACTGTCTTAGAGCACAGGTAACCTAGAAACCATTTAACTTTGTCTAGGTAAGTAACTGCTTGATGAGGGTGCTTGTTTGTTTGTATTTCTTTGAAACAGTAGCATGGAATGTACCAGAGCATCAGACCAAGAAACATTCCTAACATTTTTGAAAAACTTGTTTTCATACTGCTGCTGTCAAGCTTTCAGATCACCATTTCGTATCTGTCCACACAGACACTCCCCCAAACAATGCAGGGAAACCCCACCTTACTGGTTATAGGTCTTATATACACCCACAACAGCACTGCAGGTAAATTCCACATACAGGAAACGATCTACATAAACTCAGTGCCATGCTGAAAAGGAATTTTATTTTGTGCAGTTTGACAGGTACTTCATTTTTATTAAATTTTATGGTTAACGTGTTTAAAGAAAAGTAGATGCGGAAATTTTCCAGCTCAGGACCATGTTTAAGATCATTAATCTGTTCCTTCAGCTGTCCTTCTATGTATATGCACCAAGAAACACTCTTGGAGCATGCAATCTTTGCTCCATTTTTCCAAACAATCCTGAGACAGCAGGTACATTTAACACACAACAACCCCAGGGCCAAGTCCCAGGACTGATGTGTTCCAGAAGAGGCCCTGCTTAATAGACCCTGGTCTCCCCTTGGTGCAGCTACCTGCAGAAATATAATTTCTTTTCACTTTCTTTCCTGTCTTTTACATTGTCAATAAGATTAATTACCACCAATTCCAGCAATCCTTGCAGTACTCACTATATTCATAAAAAGAAACTCATCAAATGGTAATTTCCAGTAATATTTTTCTGCCACAGTTGACCTAATCTGCCTTAGAGTTGTTCCTGCTGGCTCCTTTCCTACTTGAGGCCAGAAATTATAAGATATAATACTATAGTATTTTCTCACCCTAATGAATAGAAACGTAGAATCATCTAGGTTGGAAGGGACCTTCAGCTACCTGCAGAAATATAATTTCTTTTCACTTTCTTTCCTGTCTTTTACATTGTCAATAAGATTAATTACCACCAATTCCAGCAATCCTTGCAGTACTCACTATATTCATAAAAAGAAACTCATCAAATGGTAATTTCCAGTAATATTTTTCTGCCACAGTTGACCTAATCTGCCTTAGAGTTGTTCCTGCTGGCTCCTTTCCTACTTGAGGCCAGAAATTATAAGATATAATACTACAGTATTTTCTCACCCTAATGAATCCAAACATAGAATCCTAGACTTGTCTAGGTTGGAAGGGACCTTCAAAATCATCTAGTCCAACCATCAACCTAACTCCGACAAAAAAACATCACTAGACCATGTCCCCCAGCATCATGTCAACCCATCTTTTGAACACCGCCAGGGATGGTGCCTCAACCACTTCCCTGGGCAGCCCATTCCAGTGCTTGATAAACAACAGCAGCTTTCTGAAATTCAAAAAATTCTCATGAATTGTGAACTCATGAATTGTGAACTGGGAGATTTGGCTCTTCCCATCCCTTAGTATAATCAATGGAAAATAAGACAGTGAAAAACCATTCTTGAAACCAGAAGCAACACAAGTTCCTGAGACCCTGTTTTCCGTTACTGGTCAAATTAGTATCTCAGGTTGTGTGGCATAAGTTAAGACTTCTAAAAATACATTATTAGATTTGATCATTCCTTTTCCACTGTTGCCAGCCAGTGAGAAAAAAATCCACATACTCTATCCACAAGTTTTAGGGCCTGAAGGTAATACTACATTATTTGCTGTTCCCTTTAATGCATGATGGGATTAAGTTTCATCCAGTTTCCTCCCTAATAAACTCACAAAATTGCCAACAGAAAGACACTGGATTTTGATCTGAAGAATTTAAAGGGCAGCAAATCCACTTCCCAGCTTGTCCTGAAGGTTTATGTACTTCATTAATGAGTTGTTCCTCCTTCAAATTTGCACAGTATCGGCTGCTAAGCCTTCACTGTGTTGCCTTCCTTGCCTGTGCCTTTTTATAGTTGTCTTGTGCTTCTCATGAAGACGCACTGTAATGAAATCATCTCTCAGACACTATTTTCTATTTTCACCTGCAGGGCATGTTCTTCAGCCTCCAAGTAAGATTTATGCCTCCAGTTTCTCTTCCTTTAGAAGAATGGTCTCTAGGGTTGAATATCACAACGCGTCAGCAAGGTCACGAAGGGAGAAGACATCTGCCTGGTCTCACTGTTTGCTGGAGCCCAGCACAGCTTTAGTCGCTGCTCTCCATGGAGGGTGGCTGCCAAAAGGTCTCCACGGCCTCCTCTCCAGATCCAAAGCCCATGTTCCACAGCCCTGTCCAGCTTGTTTTGTTCCCAGATTATAAACTTTCATTTGAAAAACATGTCAATGGCCTTGCTTATCACATGATCATGATCACTCCATCAGCTGCCTCATCCTCTCCATTTAACAGTCTGCTGATCACTATATTATCTCCATATTTTCTCAGTACTGAACTTAGACTGTTGCTAAAAAAAAGCACTAGTTTCAGTCTCGTGACTGTCTTGACAGTATCTTGATTAGAGATTAGGAAGAAACTTTTTCCTATGAGGGTGGTGGGACTCCAGAACAGGTTGCCCAGAGAAGCTGTGGCTGCCCCATCCCTGGAGGGGTTCAAGGCCAGGCTGGATGGAGCTTTGAGTAACCTGGTCTGGTGGGAGGTGTCCCTGCCCAGGGCAGGGGGTTGGAACTGTATGATCTTTAACATCCCTTCCCACCCAAACTATTCTATGACTCTACAGAGATTTAAAAAAATAAAAAACTATGAGTGTTCCTCACTTACAACCACTTGTAGCATTT